AGGCATCTTTTGATGTGTTTTAGTCCCGTCTTTGAAATAAATGAAAAACAATACACTCCTGGGCCAGGTGGTCATTACAAATGATAGATGACTTAAGATGTCAGAAAGCCCCAACCTCACAACAGACTGAGACTTTTTGAGATACTGCTTCTTATGACTTTAAATGGCGTTAGAGCCTCCATGAAGAAAGTTTTTAGTGACAGCCTAAATTACAGGATTACATCTGAAAAGAAAGCTCTACATACTCCTAAGAATATTTCCAAATCCATCACCCATTGATGACAGATTGAAATTCGGGAGGAAAATTTGAGACCTATAAAATGACCCACATACATTTGAGAATCATAGGCACAGCAGTCTCTTTATAATATTTTACATTTGGTAACAACATCTGTGTTAACATTGTAAACAAGAGACGAGTCAAATGTACAATAATCACAATCCAATTCTTTCTGTTTTAGGATTTGCTTTAACTAACCTGCCATCTCAGTTTTTTCCCCTGCTACACTTGTTCCTTGAGGCTTATACCCGGCCTTAAAATTCTATTTTGATCCTACATCTGAGACTTCCTAAACAAAAAAGAGGCAAAAATACAGTATTATTATTAGTCTCACCAACACCAGGATTTGGGGTGGGAAAGGTAGAGAATTAATTCAGCTTGTGGAAATGCTATATACAAAGACAGATTTATTACCATGAATTCAAGCTCACCTTCAATGTATAGTTATCTAACCTTCAGAATACTATTATATTCATAGCCCCAACTTGAAAAATACCCCCAACTCTTTTATTCAATAAGTCAACTAATCAATTTATCAATCAATAATAAACATGTATTAAGTACCTACTATGTGCCAGGCACTTTGTTAACCTTAGGCTTTTGATAGGATATTGAACGTCTGGATTTTTTTTTGGAAATTTCTATTCTTGGTTAAAATTTTCAGGTAAAGTAAAAAATGTTTCACATCTTGTAGACACACAGCCTAAGATATGGTCAGAATTTAAATGGGCTCAAACTATATTCAGGGGTTAAACATTTTTAAAAAATGATTATTATGTGCATCTTGACTCTTTTTGGTATTGGGCAGACCTAGAAGAATAAAGTTCTAATACCAAATCATGGTCTAATCTTGTTTAATGCTATGACAACACTTAAAAGTTCTACTTGAATCTATGGACAAATTTTCCTGAATTTTATCATTGTATTCAAATATAGCAGTGACTAAAACCAAGGTATCCAAGATATAGCTCATGGACCACATTTAGTTTTTCTGACCCTGGGGTGTGGGCTGACTGAGTTCTTTGGTAAAAACACATTCTACCTAATTAATTAGAGCACCCAGCCAGGAGCATAGCGGATAGATGCTGGATATGGAATCAGGAGAACCTGGGGTACAGTCCTGCCTCTGACTCTTACTAGTTGGATGACTCTAGGTAAGTCAGTTTCCTTCTTTGTAAAATGAAAATGATAACATGTATAGTATTTTCCTCAGAGTTTTGAGGATTAAATTAGAAAATGTATATAAAACTCTTTGCAAACTGAAAAAGTGCTACCTAAATGTCAGTTATTGTAACTAGGAGTGGGGAACCTGCCCGTAGCTACCATTGTGCCACTGATTACTGCCAGGAGTCATGGTAGCAGGTTTGGATCAATTAATAACTGCAAAAATTTTCCAGGTATTACTGATTTTGAGGCTGATTCTTTATTCATTGTACCCCAGAATCAGTAAGACCTCAGAAGTCCTTCCTTTGACATACACTAGCTGGGTTACTCTGGGCAAATTACATAACCACTTGGCATCTCCAGGCAATTCTAAGATTAGAAGCTGCTGAATTGTTGCTATAATGCATTTGTAGAGGGAATCTCCTCACTGGGAATGTCCTCAAAACAATGAAATCACAGGTCTGGACCTATACACTAAATACAGCTTGCACAAACACGGGTATCTGATAATATGACCCACTTCTGAAAAATAAAATTAGAATATAACAGATTAGAAAATTATATTTGACTTCTTTAAATGGTCACTTTTGAGCATCTAAACTTTCATCATGTTTTACTCTTTCGTGTGTGTGTGTGTGTGTGTGTGTGTGTGTGTGTGTGTGTGTTTTAATCTGTTCGATTTTATGCATAAGGTCTGAAAAAGACTGACTCCTTTTTGGATCCTTGATGTTGACCTATAGTCTTAAGTGGCCAGAGTGGATTAGCATTTCCAAGAGATACCTCAAAGTTCAAAGTGAGTGAAATCAATTGAGAATGTCAAGAATTTGAAGTAAACATTATTTCCTAGCACATATCCAGCCTCAGGGAAGGATTTTTTTCTTACTTTTTTGGTTTGGTCAGAACATAATCTTTTTAAGAAAAAGCTATAAAGTAGCTAATAACTCAGAGTTATTGACCAGACTTGCAAACTATATAATAGAACTGAAGGCTTTTGGAAGAGAGCAGGAGAGTTCCTTTTGAAACATCACAAGCTTGCTGTGAATTTATCACGTATGCTTCATGTAGCAAAAACTCAATTACATTCTCATGATCAATTGGTAATTGTAGCTTGCTCGATTTTTTAAAGCAACACGACACATCTCACATCAATCTGAAAGCAATTAGCACATATGCAAGGGATGCCTTAAAGAACAGACTCTCAAGGGCAGAACACTGTTAGCACAAGGAGCTCTCCCACACACTGGAAATGGAACGACAGTAACTGGTATACAGGACGGGAAAAGCAGCCATACTGAGTCTCTCAAGAACTTCACAGAATGGGAAGTCAGACCACGGCCATGTGACCCCGTGGGGGCAATAAACAAAAACAAAATGGTGATTGCCTAATGGGAGCCTTCTGTCCCTCACTGCCATCTAGTACACATGAAGAGCCGAGAGACACCAAATCAATGATGGAAGAGTGAGGCATGGACAAGTCACAGGAGCAGATGGAAAACTACTAGTGATCTTGGTCACCTGGAATTTGGATTGTTCTTTGATTATGAACTTCTAATACAAAATATGTTAGGGAGTGATCTTGGAAAATGAGCTTATGGGCGGCCCGAGGGCTAGAAAAAAGCCTCTTGAGGTATGCAATGTTATCCCTCATGAGAATCTTGTGTAACAAGCAGATTTGAGTCCTCTTTGAGAATTTCCTAAGTCTACAAAGAATAAATTCTCCAAGAAAATAATTCTCTGAGACAATCTACCCCAGATGGAGCCATAAAAATGTACTTAAAGCTTCACAAGCTCAGGAGATATTAGATTTAGAGTCGGAAGGGACCTGAAAGCTCGTCTAGCCCAACCTCCTCATTTTACAGATGAGGAAACTGAGGCTTAGGGAAGTTAAATGACTTGCCCAAATTCATCACCAAGTGTCAGAGCCAGAATTTAAACTCAGGTCCTTGGATTACAAATGTGAGTGTGACAGGACATGTCTACATGGTCAGATGAAGCCACTTTCCTAGCAGGTTTTGTTTTACTTTTTTCTTTCAGTGTTACAAGGGGGGTATGTAGGGATGTGGCTTTGATGTATAAAACTAAGACATCAATAAAATACTTTTTTTTAAAAAAAAAATATGCTGTCAGCCCTCAGAAAAAGCTAGTTCTTGCATAAGAAATGTAGCCACGAGGCAGCTGGGTGGCGAAGTGGATAGAGCTCTGGCCTTGGAGTCAGGAGGACCTGAGTTCTAGTCTGGCCTCAGACACTTGACACTTACTAGCTGTGTGACCCTGGGCAAGTCACTTAACCCTGAGTGTCCCCCCCAAAGAAAGAAAAAAGAAAAAAAAAGGAATGTAGCCACATCAGCCACCTTAGTACCAATTATGATCCAACCCTTTGATTATATCCTCATGTCCAATGGGCTATGTATAGGCATCTGCAATGAACTGAATGACATTGGCATTTGGAGTGCTATCATTAAATCTCAGAGCCTAAAATCTATGGGTTGGACAGGACCTTAGAGGTCATCTTGTCCCTCAGTACAAGAATGCCTTCTACCTCATCCTGACAGGAGGAATGCAGGACACCTCAATGGCTTTTTACTGGACAACCAGGTAGTAAGAGATATAGCGAGCTTCTGGAATCCTACTGGTATTTTCCAAAAAAAAAAAAAGAATTACACTCTTCTTTTTTATATCAAAAGAAAATTAATTCTATAAACTAACCATCAAGAGTGGGGGGGAACTAAAAAATACTATTTTTTGAGGAGTTAACTTAAAAGTATCTTTAAAAACCAACAAATCAAGAAACATTAGGGTATAAGGTATAGTGGAGCATGCCTGTAATCCCTGGTGCTGGGAAGGACGGAACTGGTGAGTTGTTTAAATTCAGGAGTTTTGAGTTGCCTAAAACTGGCTAAAGTGTCCACACTGAGTCTGGAACCAATTTGACAAGCCACTGGGATCAGAGGGCCATCAGGTTGCCTGGAGGTACCAACCAAGATCAACCCCCACATTGGCCATTGAATTCTCTAGCCTGGGCAAGACAGGAAGAACCAGTCTTGAAAAAAGTCACAAAGGGCAAATATTGAGGCTTTCTTCAAGGTGACCACCATGCTGCCTAGGGAGGGTCAATGCAACCCAGGTTGGAAAGAGAACAAGCCAAAGATTCCATGCAGATCTGCAATGGGGTCAGGCCTGTGAGTGTTCTCACCCTGTCTGGGTATGATAGAGAGACCTAATCTCAAAAACATAAAAACAAAAAAGAAAGAAAAAAAAAAAAGATGTTCTTCAATGAGCCAGGCCCCAGGGCCGCTGAGTCAGGAGCCCAGATCTGATGGAAGAAGATGAATTTTTAATTGTCTAAATGAGCATGGGCTCCATGAAAATTCTTTGAATGACTTAAGGATGGGGGAAAGGACATACTAGTCAGGGGATCTGAGAGTCATGGGATTTGCCTATAGTTAGCACCCAGTGGAAAGTCCAGCACTTATAACACAATGCCTTGTGCATCCTAAGTGCATCATTGAGGCTGCTGAATGGAAAAGGCTCAGTACAAAAATATAATAGGCATGGCTCGATGTTGAACTTGTGTGTTTTATTGTTGGCACCAAAAATGCTCAGGTCCTATTTTATGTTAATGTACATACTGTAAACACAACTGCATGAATAATTTTCTCATGGTTCTGTTTCAATGAATCTAGGTTTGAAAAAATACATTCACAAACTACCTTATGTTTAAACACAATGATTCCCTTTTATTTCTTAACTGTACCCAAAGACCCACAATAAAAAAATCATTTAAAGCTGTGAGTTCCGAACTTGTCGCTTAGGAAAAAAAATATATATATCCATTTGCAACATAATTCAAGAAGCCTCTGATTTAAAATACCAGCAGCAATATAAAGAGCTGGTGGCAATCCTAGCCAGTATCAAGACCAAGATCGCTGTTCCTTCTTCACGACAGCGTACAACAGTTAGAATAGTTGCTAAGTTCAATCAGAAAAGTTATTGCTGAATTTGTTGCACTGGACTGGTGTGAGCAGTGCAAATGAGCATTGGAGAATTGCACTGATTTTGGAAACCCCAAATGAGGACACCTCCCTGATCAATCAGAGAGGGTTCTTCGTTCAATTTCTTCTGGTTACCTGCTCCAAACCAAAGGTTAATGACTTAGGCCCCTTGGCCCTTTGGAATTATTTCACAATGTAACATGAATATTCTCCCTTCCCCCACTCCCCCTACCTCCCAATTATCAAACTATAGCACCACCGGGTCTCTAATTTGTATTTTGTTCACATTAACAGCTCATCCAGCCGCTCATTTATTTTAGGCAAAATCATTAGAATAATAGATTCAGCAATCCATTACTGTAACTGTTGTGATCTCTTGGGAACAAATGCCATTGATTTTTTTTTCATTATTCAAAGATTCAAATTTGATCGATTACTGTTTTGTTTTTTTTTAAATATTAAATACACCTGAGATTGCCAATTGAGCTCTCTATATGTCTCCTGGAGATAACACTGCTGTGATGAACAGCAAAACAAAAACAAACAAAACGAGGTAGGTTAAAACAGGAAGCGCAACACAGGTATCGTTATGCAACACCTTGAGACCACAGGCAGCCATGCTTGTAGCTAGTAAACAGACAAACCAAAAAATCCGAGACACGTAAAAAATGGAAATCATCTGAGTAAGTTTATAAGGACACAATTCAACCTGAACTAAATACATATATATTTCTGCACAGATGTTGTTCACTGTATGTTGGGTAATTTAGAGGAAGGTAAAATGATTTAGGGTCTCAGAATTTTGGCCAAAACCCTGCTTCCAAGTTCTGTAACTTCTGGGCCTAATGATGCCTGCTTTTTCTCAGGTTGTCTTTTTTTCTTACCAACCCAAAGAGACTATAGGCAGCTCAGAAGCTTTTACTTTATTTATGTTTGTTTGTTTAAAGTCACAGTTTTCATCTCTAGAAAGTGGCACCCACAGAAGAAAGAGATGGGGTAGAACAAAACCAAGCTGTCACCCACACCTCAATTTCCCCGGCAGGATTGGGGTACATCAACCAAAGTCCAGGCAAAATGATGCCTAAGCCAGGTGAGCTCTTAGCCCAAGAGGATTTGTGCATTCTTGTAAATATCATGGCATATTTTTTTCCAAAAGCTCTTCTTCCTTTCTCTGAAACCCATTTGCCCTCCTGGTCTTTTGCCCTAACCTGTTGCATAATCAAGCTGTGGGAAAAAGATGTGCTAAAGATTCCCTCCATCTCCAGAGCCAACTCAACCATATGGCACTACTACCCCATCAACACGCACCATTATGTAAGGTCCATATGAAAATATGGACTGACAGACTGACAAAAATGGTAGTTGATTTATTAGTCTAAGGCTAGTAGTTTAGCCATTTAAAATCTATTTCCCAAAAGAGGGGAAAAACTAGTATTTTTCTTCTCTTTTTAAAAATTCATTAACTAGTTGCTGTCAAAAATCAACCTTTAGGTTGGTGAAGGCAAAAGATTGCTAAAATTACCCAGCTATACAGTTATGGCCTTCAGAGGAGAGAGATAAGGTACATTTATTGTGCTGTCTCTCACCATTCAAAATTGGTAATTTTACAACATTCTGCATACTTAACGCTAGCAGGCAGACAGAATCCGAAGAAGATTCATTTTTTTCAACACCATTTCCTTCCCCATTCATATAAAGTAAGGGACCAAGAAGCTTTGTTTTTTTTTTTTTTTTTAAAGCAAAGAGTCATAACCCACTGTAACACAGCAGAATAAAAGACCACACAATGTTTACATCCCCAGCGCCGAAGTGCTCATGGTCCATCTCTGTTCAGAGACAGTGCCGCATTCTTGGTGCTCTCCGAGAAATTCCTCCCTCTTGTCTCTCTCTCTTTCTCAAACAGGCTGCAACAATGAAGGATGGACTGTATATGGTGGGAGAAGAGGGTGTGAGAAGGGAAGGGAGAGGTGGGAGTGGAGGAAGGGGGAAGCAGTGCGTTCAACCAAGCCTTCTGTATCTGCCTCTAGACTGGCATAAGTCCACACGTGTCATGTTCTTTTAATAGAGAAACAACGCCATGATGATGAGTGCCAAGTGTTCATCTGCTACCAGTTCATCATGGAATTTCTGTTGAGGGTCATGAAAAACACTTGGCTACTTCCTCCAGATCGCACGGATGCAAAAAATACCTGTTTGAAATTAAAAAAGAATTAGTTCAATCACATGGCCTTTTTAATTTTCTCTTTTTCAACCGTCCATCCATTTTCCTCATACATGTTTTGTCCTTGTTATGATATATTAGTTTTTAAGACTCAGTGATCAGTGTTTATAAAGTGCCATGTGATACAGTGCAGGATAGAAATGCTTTTGCTTTCATAGGTTTATCATCATCATTATTATTGTTATCATTTTTAGGCCAAGTGATTGGTGCTGAAGGGACTCTCTTTTTAGAGGATCGACCTTGTAAAATCCCCTTTTGTAGGAGGGTTTAGATGTTCAAAAAGCTATGTGGAATGCCTATATGATGTGTGGGAATTCTAGCCTCAGATCCTCAAATTCTGTATTCCTTTAATGAGGGCCACAGGCTACCTGGGATGGGTGCTCTGACTAAACAGGAATACTCTAAATTTAATAGTTATTACAGACATTCAACTTCAGGTTTCGATAATTGTGCCACACATCAAGAAAATTAAAAATCAGAGTAGCCAAGGGTCACCTTCTGGCTTTCCAGTGAACCTTGGCATGCTAGATGGCATCTAGGATAAGGATGTGGAGACAGGAGGCTGCCAACCCATTTTGCTGGGGGAAAGGTAGTATGTTTTAGTTGCTACCAGCCTAAGCTGAATTTCAATGAATCGCTTGTACCAGCAAACAAGTATCCTTAGCCCATAAAGGGACTTTTTGTAAGGTTCCCCTCATAATGAAGACAGCAACAGCTGCCTTCTCCAAAACACTGGAAAGTCAGGGAGGGTACTGTCCATGGTCACACTAACTTCCTCCATATTATAGAGAATTTCTATTATGCAAGGAAGGCAACTTTTTGTTGAATATCACAGAATATAATTCTGGGATCCTAAGCTCTATGTGTCTCATGGCGGATGCCTGGCTTCCACACCCCAAGGCCCAGTGGCTGATATGGTGTCAGTGAAATCCTAAAGGTGTGGGCCTATCTTGGACAAGTCGCAGGAATCTGTCTTGATCAGAATAAGCCAGGCTCGTCAAGCTCATCCCTGGTTTCAAGAGAGCTTGAGTTGGTTCTGAATTTTTGCTAGGTGTTTGTGTCTTTTCTAGAGTAGGGCTGAACTTTGAAAATACCTTGGTAAGCAACCCTGGAAACACCCTTCTGAACCATTCCAAACCAGAATAGATAATTAGGATCTGGTCTGGTTCAGAGGTATACCCCAAAGCTTAGTCTGAGACTACTCTGGATTTTAGTTGGGTGCATGGCCAAGATGACTCTCTCTCTACCTCACTGAGTTCTTTCCTCCATCAGCTGTTATCTGGGAAAGCATTTCAGGAATGTTTTTTGGGTAGCCAGCAGGGACTAATTCAAAAGTGTTAACAGCTCAGCTGATAGTAAACTTTGGCTTACCCTAAGGGGAGAGGGTAAGATAAAGTTGGTCCTGCCCCAGAAAAGTCCTTGGTAGTTACTGACCATGAATGATTAGGCTATTTTCAGTAGGACATATTTTTCTCATGTGTCACTTCAGAGAAGCCTTGTTGGAATGATACAGGCAATGTCATTAGTCAAATTTCTATTTGTTTGTGAATGTGAATGTGTTTCTAGGATACGGGTGAAATAAAATTGGTCTTGTTTAAAGGGTATATTCTGTATTTGAATTTTTTACATTTAACTGTCAAAAAAGCCATGTGATAGGTCAAATATTGATAGTGATTTTTAAAAAAATCTACACATAGAAATACAAAACCAGCCACCACGAGTTTAGAAGTGCAAGGCTAACTGTTCTAATCGGTCTTGAGTAGGAATCCAGATCTATTTTGCACCAAGTGTGATTTATTTTATTGCTGAATGATCACTTGGCCTACAAAGCTTTCCAAAATTATTTTATGTTGCTTGTATGTCACAGGGATGTGTATGCATGCGTGTGTGTGTGTGTGTGTGTGTGTGTGTGTGTATTATACATTTAATTGTTCACATGGATTAAATTACATTGCTTAACCCTAATCTGACTAAATTGAGTTTGTAAAGGAAAAGGAAGGTTTCACAGGTACCTGGTAGTCTCTTAAAATGCAAACACTAATGCAAATGTTGAAACGGATTTACCTTATCATTTCTTTCACATAGAAACTTTAACCTTTGAGCTCGCTTATGCATAAATACTCCATCCAAATGTCCTGTTTCCACTGAACGGATCTCAATAGCTTTCTCTCCCCAGCCCATTATTTGATTGGAATGAATGTAGGCTGTCAAAAGGAATTTCCAAAACTGCATTAAAAACATTAGATGGGCAATAGCTTACAGTATCTGTTCACATTTAAACCACAAACATGACATACAATTTGCCATACACATACAGAGCAGGTCTTACAAGTGTAATTTCACAGACTGTTTTGTGGACTCAAATGGTTGTCTCACTTTTCTTGACTTGCGTGTCAATTTGGGGGTGTAACTGTTGAAGGAGAAAAGGAAGTGTTAACCTACCCACAGAGGTGGGCATTTCTCCCCACTGGAGCACCACATCTTTAGTGATCCGGCCATAGGTGTTCACGTACACCCCCTCATCCTCATAGCAAACGAGCATTTCCATTCCATCCGTTTTAGGTAGGATGACAATAGCATGAGGAGTGATATTACCCTGAATCTAGAATTTAAAGAAAAGGTTATAATTACATGGAGGGAGCTAAAGGCTTCAGATAAGAAACCATCCCAAACAAAGATCCCAAGGAAATACTCTCATTTTCTTTGTTTTTAGCTTTAGATCTAAAGACAGAAATTTCTTACATTTACCCCAACCCAACCATCAAGGTGTCAACTCTTTTAGGAAAGAAGAGCCTTCTCTATTGAAAAAAGAACATAATTTTTACTGCTTGAAATGACAGGTGGCATCTAATAGTAGGATGAGGTAGCGGAGGCTGATTGAAGGCACCCTGGGCCAGAATGTATATGCTCAGATATCTTCCTTTCTACAACATCCGAGGCACCTTGGGAAAGTAGATAGAGAGCTGTCTGTGTGATCAGGAAGACTTGAGTTTTAAGTCTTGCTTCTGACACATAATAACTGAGTTACCCATGGCAAGGCACTTAAATTGCTTATTGCTCTAGACGACTCTCCAAGGCTGCTGAGTCATTGAAAAGGTGCTGACCTGCATTAGTAGTGAAAGTTCATTCTTTAGGAGTTCTCTTTCCAAATGAAGTCACAAGTACAGCCCTTATCCTCTATATAAACATACTGTGAAGACTACCTAGCAAACTAGAGTAGAGCAAGGACGTTATCGCGACATATTTGCTATCGGACTGCAGAAAAGACACAACTCTCATCACCAACCTGTAATCATGGGCAAGTTATCTCTAGAATAAACTTGTCAAACAATGAGATGGGAACCAGAAACAACTGAGATGAGAAGGTTTTTCTTGAAACAGAGAAAACCTCTGTGTTCAATGACATCAATGACACCTGTCTTCTTGAAGGGAATTCCCTATGTCTATTTCTATCTATGGTTCCAAAGATGCCACATTGAGGTTGTCAAATACTTTCTATCATGGAACAATTCCTTAGATGAAAACACCATCTTCAAGCAGTTACAAAGATGGGTTTCCAAAAATCCAATCCAACAAGCATTTATTAAGCTATGGGCAAGGTATTTTGCTGGCATTGGGGACAAAAACAAAATAAAACAAAAGGAAATACAGTTTCTGTCCTAAGGAGCTTATATGCCACTGATCGAATTTGCACATGGTATTTAGTTAAGTAAAGACTATTATATCTCAGTGATTTGTTAATATGCATTAGATAAAGTATCAGAAAGTAACATTTGGTACTTGGAGAGTAGAGGCAGGCAAGATTCTGAGCAGTAATTTATAAAAACACCTCTCCATCATCCAGCCAAGCTGTCATATGGCCAATCTCTGCCATGCTCACAAACATTCTATGGACTTACATGGGACGGGATGTAGATATCATAAGAATTTCCCGAATCTACATCAATCACGTGGAAACCAGTGTGTGATCCAAAAATAACCTTTAACCTTTGACCTTCTTCTACTGTAAGGTCAACAAGTAGGGGCTTGTGCTGGAGATCTGCAAAAGACTTTAGACAACACTTTTGTTAGTCTCTATACTACACCAACAGTGTTATTTCTAGTGTTTTCTAATGGTCTAGTGGACATTAACTTCCAGGTTTCAGAAATTGAGGAACTAGGCTGAGTTTGATACTAATCTTAAGCCATTTAATTCACAGGTTATCTGAAGTCCTTACTTACCTATCTGTGTTCCCTTAGAAGCATTTAACAATATAAAAGTTAGACTTCAGATAACTTCTTTGCTATAGAAGTTGCTCTGGCTGTTGAAGCTCTTGCCTTTTATTCTTTTGCCTATAGCCAGAGTTCATTCATTCATTCACATTCATTCATCTATTCATCCATCCATCCATCATTCAAACTCTTACTAAGTATCTATTGTATAAGGATGAATGTGACAAGATCTCAACAAAGATCTCAAATCCTCAAGGAGTTCACAAATTAGTAGGGGACCTCATGATATAGCAATTCTGAGGGATAGTAAGAATTTTGTGTGTTCTTTGCCTTTGTTTTCAAGATGCCTATCAACCTGACTGTCAAACTAGAATGGAGTGGAGACCTTCAATCAATCAACCAGAATTTATTGTCTATTGTATGTCAGTCACTGTACCAGTGCTGGGTACATGAAAACAAAAGTATAACAATTCCTGTCCTCAAGCAATTTCCATTCTATCAGGAGAGACAGCATGCACATGTATAAGTACATGTAGAGTACATAGGCCTAGAATTATGGGGGACTGGAATCAAGAAAGGCTTCATGTAGAAAACACAGAATGAGCTAAGACTCGAAGGAAGAAAGAGATGTTGTGAGGCAGAAGGAAGCAGAAGGGAGTACATCCTAGGTATGGGGGGATGGCCAGTACAGAGGCACAGACATGAGAGATGGGAGAGTCATGGATGAAGATGATGGTCAGCATGGCTATATTGTAGAAAGTAGAAAGTGGAATAAAGGCTAGGAAAGCAGAATGGGGGACCAGCTTGTGAAGGTTTTTAAAAGTCAAAGAGAAGTATTTATGTTTTGTCTCAGAGATTCTTGAGTTTGTTGAGTAGGGAAGTGACATGGACAGACAAGAGCTTCAGGAAAATCACTTTGAGAGCTGAGTGGAGGATAGATTGGAGTGGGAAGAGACTTGAGGAAGGGCAACCAATTAGGAGAATATTACAATAATCCAGGTAAGAAGTGATGGGGGCCTGAACTAGGATGGAGACTGTGTGAGCAGTGGGAAGGGGAAGGATGTAAGGAAAGCCAGGATCTGGTCACTGCTGATATAAGTGAGGTGAGGGTGACTGAGGAAGGGAGGATAATGCTGAGGATGAGAATATGGGAGACTGGAAGGATGGTGGTGCCCTTGTCAGAAACATGGAAGTTTGGAAGAAAGGACTGGGTGTGGGGAAAAGATAAGGACTTCTTTTTCAACATGTTGAATTTAAGATATCTATGGGAAATCCAGATGGAAATATCCTATAGACAGTTGGTGATGTGGGACTGAAGCTTAGGAGAGAATTGGGAGACCATGAATGACAAAGTTTTTATGTGCAAGAATTTTGCCAGACAGCACAAACATGCACCCTTCGGGAACCCTTCCCTTAAGTACTGTTTGATTGTTCTAACAAAACAAAACTTCAAAAGAAGTAATATAGTGGCAGGGGGATGGAAAGAGAAGGAAAGGAAAGCCCATTTCTGCTGACAAATGTGCCTTTTGAGTACATAGCTAATGAGCCATTTGTGCCAGCGGTACATGTGAAGGATGAAGTGACTCAGCAGAGAGGACTGCCCCCACATTAGCACAAGAAACCCCAGTGCCTACATGAGCAAAAGGACAAAAAAGGAGAATAGAAAGCTCAGAGTGGGGAAAATGTTGGGGAAGGAATATGAAAGAATTAATGAAAATCTGCTATTATCCACTGCCAGGGCTCCCCAGACAACAAGGCATCTGGAAGGACCAGTCTCCTTTCTACTAGTGTGTTTAGCCTTTAAAAGTCTGCTTGAATGAGACCCCTGTGGTTCAGTCCAACCAGGGCAACCACAGTGAGTGCAGACCCAACCGATATTGAAAATGAGAGCAAAATTAAAACTGAAAAGGGGAAAAAAAAGATGAAAATAAGTTTCCAAAGAACAAAGTCATTTTCACTAGTCAACATAATTAGAATTTGTTTGAAAGCACTTCAGCATTTTATTTAAAAAGCAATATGGATATATATATATACATATATATGTATATATGTATGTATGTATATAAGTATATATAGTATAGTGGTGTAAGGTAAGAGTCCTGCATTTATGGACAGAAGACCAAGGGTTGACTGTTGGCTCTGCCATTTATTGTATGACCCTTCAGCAGAGCATCTCACCTCTTTGTGCCTCAGTTTCCTCATCTGCAAAATGAGAGGGGTAGACTAGAAGACTTATAAGGCCCCTTCTAGCTTCGAGCTTGTGATCTTTTATACAATGAGTTATTTGAATTAAGAGAATCTTTGCTGAAGAGAGAAAGGCTTCACGAAGATCCATTGTTTTCAAAACTCATCTCAAGTCTTAAATTTACGTCAGCTGAAGTGCCTTTTATCTTTAACAATCCCAGAGCTACAGAATGTTAGAGCGTGATGGGACCGTAGCGACTTTCTTTTTTAGATGCGGAAACCAAGGGCCAGAGAAAACAAGTCACTTACTCAAGGTCACACAGCTAAAATGAAATGTAGAGCTGGGAATGAGGTCTCCTGATTCTCTGTCTGGCATCCTTTGAACTACACCACACAGCTCTTAGGGGGACAGTCTTCCATGCAGCACACTCTGCCATGGACAACTTTTGGCTTTCAGTGAAGAGTGGTTGTTTGGCAAAGTCAACACTGAATTTGCCATCTGAGAATCTGAATTCAAATTCTGGCTCTCTTTCATATAGCCTGTGTAACTTGGGGCAGGTTTGCCTCACCCCTCTGTACCTCACATTCTTCATTTATCAAAGGAGGTTAGATCAGCTGATTTCTCAAGCCTTTCCAGGACCAACTTCTATGACCTTATATGTTTCCAGGGAAGATGGAGGACAGGCATTTTTCTTGCTCACAGACATGGACACACATTATAAATGCTGTTTGGGGGGATGATAATATTTCTCAGAAGAGGAGGAGGAGAGTACCAAGGAGATATTAGCTTGGAAAATTTCCAGTATGTCAAAAGGCAAGAAATTTGGCCTAAAAAGTAACCCTACCCTTGCTAAATCCATATAGTAGATATGGAAATGATGGCACCGGGCATGGAAGGCAGTGTCTGCATCTTGCACAAGGAGAGGTTTAGTGCTAGACGTGCAAGACAAAAGATCAGTCTAATTGGTAATGATGCTACCACTTACCTTAAATGCCATGAACTTGTGGTATGGCTTAGGAGCCCACGCATATATCTCCACGGCATTCTTCAAGGCAATCACCAAGAATTTGATCCGTTCATATTTCACTGAAATTGAAAAAAAAAAGCTACCATGAGTAAAAGAAATGCATTGGTTCTTATCAAGTTGCCTAATTTCCCTATATAACACAGGCAAGAGTGCAATTTTCTATGTGGAAGATAGCTTGGTAATATGGGAGGGATACTAGCTTGGGAGTGAAAGAATCTAAGTTAGAATCCACACTCTGTTGCTTACTACCTGTGTGACCCTGGATAACGCCCTTCACCTCTTTGAACCTGTTTCCTCAACTGTAAAATGAAGGTGTTAAACTAATTGGATCTCTGAGGTCCCTCCTAATTTGAGGTCTTATCATAAGATGACTGATTTAAAGCTAGAAGGGGGACCTGAAAAGCATCCAAGCTATCCCCATCATTTTACAGATGAGGAAACTGAGGACCACAGAAGTTAAGGTACTTGCCCAAGGTCACATGAGTAGTAAGCAAAAGAGTTAGGCATTAAAGCCAGGTGCTCTGACTCTAGAGTTGGTACTCTTTCTGCTACACCATCTGCACAGGCATGTTGACCTAACTTGGGGAATGTTCCCCACACCACTCCCCTCCCCCCACAAAGATTAGGAATTTCCTTTTCTGTCAGCAGATCTTAGCTATGAATCACTAATAGTAATGGTGATTTGAAAATCATTATCTATATTCTCTTGCTTGCCTTTCTATGGGTCAGTGACATGTACTGTAGATAAAGAAGGCTGACAGGTGGTAAAAATGTTGTAAAATGGGGATATCAATAGCATCCACCTCACAGGGTTATTGAGAAAACCAAATGTTAAGTGCTCTGCAAACCTCAAAGCATTATATAAATGTTAACTCTTCTTATGGTCTGGTGTGTCAGAAATGTGTTCCTTCTCAGGATAAAAACCGAGAGAAAAAAATCTGCCAGTAGGGAATGTGTGAGGAAAGCTGGCAGTTGTTTTCTCCCCAAAGCTATTTTAGACAAGTCTGGGGGTGTGTCCTGGGTCTCTATGAAGTAGTACTCTTGTGTTTTTCCTAGGATAATTCCCTCTGTAGTGATTTTCAGGCAAAGTATCATCTACCCCTTACACTGATGGTCATAAAGATGACCCTGAGGTCCATGCATCTATCTGTTTCTTTAGCAATGGGAACTGCTTGGGACCTGGAGCTGTGTTTGTACCACATGCACATTTAAAAATCATGGAACTTGTTCAGCCATTCCCCAATTGATGGTTGTGAAGAAACACTACTATGGTATAAGAAATCATGAACTCAATGATTTTAGAAAGGCATGGAAAGATCTGCATGACATGATGAGCAAAGTAAGTAGAAACAAAATAACATTGTATACAGTAACAGCAGTATTGTTTTAAGGATGACTTTGAGTGACTAAGCCATTTAGATAATTATAAATACACAAATTAAAAATAAAGGACATATGAAGAAAGTTGCTACCTATATCAAGAGAAAGAATTAATAAATAGAAGTACATATGGAATAATTTTACATATATATGTGTATGTGTATGTGTGTATATACCTATTTATGTTCAAGGGTAGCCATCTCTAGGGCAGGGTGGGGGGAAGGAAGAAAAAAAAGAAAAATAAAAGAAATTCACATGATAACTGTTATATATTTGGAAGGAATAGCAAGTTGTACGTGGTAGACTTGCAGTTTCATGTGCAATCATCTTTTTCATTGTACGGTGTTATGGAAATGCTTGTTTTGTTCTGTGACTTGAAAGTAAAAGAAATTTAAAAAAAATAAAAATCATGGAACTGACGTGCTTGGAAATGAAGGAAGCATCAGTCAGTCAATCATCAAGGAGTTGTTAAGGGCCTACTATGTGCCAAGCACTATGATGACATAAGTATGATAAGGGAAATAATGCAAAGAGCTCCATACTGGTGATATGTAGTAAAAAGTCCTCAGTGTGTGCAGATCTGGACAGATAGACGAGAGTAATGCTAGGACAGGGTTCTTAACTTTGGTTGTGTCATGGATGCCTGTGGCAGGCTGGGGAAGCCTAGGGACCCTCTTAGAAGAATGCTTTTAAAAAGTGGAGGGAAATGCTAAATTTTAGTTAGAGGTTAGTGAACATAATGGTCATTTTTGTTTGCCCATTCAAGTTCACAGTCACTTCTGACATCCATCAGGGGAATCCTTGGGTGTCTGTGGACCCCAGTCAAGAACCCCTGTTGTAGGATAGTCATGATTACCTCAGTGCTATACCCTGCACTGACCCAAGGCAGAATCCAACTTCATATTATGTATTTATTTTCTACCTTCTTAAATGTGTACAAGTTTTTTTTTGGTAAGCTCATGAAGGGCAGGGTTTGTTTCATTTTTTTGTCTTTGTATCCTAGTGGCTAGAATAGTACCTGGCATATATAGAAGGTGCTTAATAAATGCTTGTTGATTTGTGGATGACAAGTGGATGGTTCTGTGAGTACCTATGGTCAAAAACATTTCATTAGCTGTTGACTAATTTTCTGGTAATGAATTCCTCTGAACTTAGCTAGTGTGGACACAGCCTATTCCTGGGTCAATACTTGAAGTCTTTTCCTAGATTTAGCGTCACATTTAGATGGCATATCGCAATAAGATTTCCATGAAGGTCTCAAAGTTTATTACGTGGGAAAACTGTAACACAGGCTAAATTTGTGTTTGAGACCAAGAAAACATGAGTTACATGATCAAATTTGTAGGATCATAAATGAAAAGTGGAAAGGTCCTTTAGAGGTAATTAAGCATCTAATTTTACAAATGAGAAAACTGAGGCACCAAGTGGTTAAGTGACTTAGTGTCATACAGCTGGTAAGTGTCTTAGGCAGGATTTGAACCCAGGTCTTCCTGACTCGAAGTTCAATGCCCTACCTACTCTGCCATACTTCATAAGCACAATGCTGTGACTTACCGACTTTGTAATGTATACAGCCTTCCAAGTCCCCAACAGTGATCCAGCCTTGTTTCTTTTCAACTTCAGGATCATTGTGCAGGATTCGATTTCTTAACCAAGATAGATAGTAAACTCGTAGTTTATTCTTCTTTCCTGTTGAAATAAAATAGCTTTAATTTCATGCATCACCAGAAAGACTCTTCCACCCCCCTCCACATTTTTAAAATACCAGGGGCACAGCTATTATAAGACTATAACATTTCATCATCAGGGTATTTTCACTCAGAGCACTCATGGTTAAAACTAAACATCTTTCCAGAATGACTAGCTTTTCAATTGACTGATTTTTGCTGCTTTTCTTGGACATAAGCTCTCTAAACTGTCTATCCTCAGTGCAAAAAGGAAACCTTTATTGAAATCAGTGAGACTTGGGTACCAGGACATGTGAGAACAGGAATTCTGAACCTTTTCTGTGTCATGGATCTCTTTGGCAGTCAGTCTGGTGAAGCCTTTGGACCCCGTCTCAGAATCACGTTTTTAAATGTATCAAGTAAAACACATGATTACAAAGGAAACCAATTACACCAAAATAACAATAACAATATAATTTTTCCCCCTATCCAAGTTCATAGACCTCTTGAATCTAACCAGGGACACCTTGCTAGAACCCCTGTACTATACTCAATTGTCTGTGTGTGT